TTCTTGTTATTATTAGCGATAAACTTGTTACTACTAGTCTGTCCATGTACCTGGACCTTGGAGTGTGAATAATGGATAACAATGGAGATCCACCGCTGATATGGGATAGTCGATTGCCAGGAGACCCCTGCCTTACTGAAGGTGCGGTTAGGGGTTACTGGTTCCAACCCCGCCTGGCGGTCGAAACGAGGCGTCACCTCAAAGAGGGATGCGGAAGGAGTTCAATAAGGCGAGGGAAGGAGGAAAAATTGGATCCGGATGTGGATGTTTAATATTTTGATATATCAATATCCACATATTCATCCGGATCAATATGTGGATTTGGATCCGGATATCAATTTAATTCATTTGATATATGTCATTTGATCATTAATCTGAATTGAATGTAGCATATTCATCATGAATCCGTTCATATCCCTTCGATGCCTTTGATGCATTGGGTCTGTCCTATTATATACCTGTAACTGTCAGTAAACAAGCAAATCATACCCCCAATAATCAGTGGACACATAATCCACTAATAATCCACTGGGCCCTGGTATTAGGATAGACCCAATCGATAAATATATTTATCTCCAACAATCCCGCTAGTCAATCCTAGTTGTGGGAATCTCCGGTCAGTTGTCACTCGGCTGTTTTTTTGATCGAAAGGACGAAACCCTTTGAATACTCTTTGAGTATAGATAATTCCAACATCATGGTGTTCATCAACTCTAAGAATCGGGGCCCTCAGACACACGATCCCGATTCTGAGGGTCCAGATCCCTGGAGGGTTGAGACCCCAAGGATTCTTAGGGTACTGTAACACTGTATTTATATCTTGACCGGTCGAGGCAGGTTCGAGATGGTTCGAGGCCCCATAACGGAGCTTCGGACTCTTCAGATGTAGTTCTCTACATCTGGTAGCTGTATGTATGCTACCCGGAGATGACACAGGAGTAGTGAAACATACTTGCGGAAATGAGTCTTCCTATCTCATGTGTCCGCAGTTGCAACCCCCAAAATTGTATCATATGTGTCCAAACTACATGAAGGAGGCTCAAAAGGACTATAAGGTCCTATCTCATGAGGACGTATCTCAGATTCGGCAAAGGGGAAACAACATTGCGAGACACTTATCAAAGGCAAACGGAAGGGTAGTGCACAGAAAGGGTTTTGCAAAAACCTATTCTACTAACGTCGTGGAAGGTGCGTGACCTTCGTAGAACCCAAGGCTGTTCGTGGACAGTTCGTGGAATGGTGGGCCAGTAGGAGAACTGACTGCAACGAAATCCCAGAAACCTTCGCAGAACTTCGTGGAAGGTATTCTTGATGCACTAACTTCGTATAAGCGAGTTTTGCTGACCCCCTTTCTCCACACACCCTCCGTTTAGCCTTCAACTTAAGAGACGTTTGTGAAGGAAAGTCTGAGCCTTTGGACAACTCAGTTAGGCCCACAAAAGTTGTAAAATGTCCCTGTCTCATGTGCTCAATCCATTTTTGAGACCTATCTCGTGCTTTTCGCACACTTTGCAATGTAATTTCCCATCTCATCTTCCCCTAGTATATTCGGGGATTCCAACCACAATCGCTATAGGGCTCCAAGTACATCAGAAGGTACCTGGAGCCTAGGGAATTGATTTAGTTTTCTTGACGGAACGGCCCAAGGAGACGCTACACCAGGTCAACCATTATACACGTAAGAGCATGAGCTTGTGAGGCGAACGGGTGTTTGACCGTACAGAATATTGAAGAGACCAAGAGAGGTTAAGTGACCTGAACTAGGACCTTACTGGGGTACCTATGAGATAGGCGAACTAGGGTCCTTCAACCTCTGTTGGGATGTCCCTTTGTTTGAACAAAAACATCTGGTGTTGAAGTTTTCCAGCAGACATGGACAAGGCACGAACCACTTTTTTGCCGTATATAGTTAGTACGAACTCATCATCATAGCTTATTAGTGACGCAGGTGATTTCTTGGGGTTTCGGCCCAGGGCTCAAGATCGCCTGTGATAGGATTTGCAGGATCTACTTGTTTTGCCCCAGACCCGTCTTTGCGGGTCGTTTCTGCGCCGCCATAGGTCCCTGGAGCCCCACGTGGCATAGACGCCACCGTAGGGTCAGGGCGAGAGCTCGGCATTTCCTTCGCTTGCGAAGGCACAAGCCGAGGCTGCGACCTCAGATCCTAGCCAGACTGAGGCAGAAGAAACTGTTGCTGGAGAGTCACCATTCCAGGCCTCAGTACGTCATCAAGGTGATGACATGGAAGGGACGCAACCAGTCCAATGGTCGTTGGCAGTCATGGCAAGACTGGAAGAGCGATCAGGGACAAGAGAAAGAGAAGGACAAGAAGAAGAAAGAGCCTTCGGTTGCCCGATCCCAGAAGAGCGAAGTGCTGGAGCTGATCTCCTACGACGGCAAAAGAGTCGCACTGCCCGACGACAAAGGAGCGGTCGGATCTTCTTCTGCATCCTCGTCTGGCTTGCAGGAAGAGAACAAGCGTCTAAAGGATGCTTTGAAGTACTTCGCCAACAAGAAGGAGGACGAGGAGGTGCCGGAGGATTATCGTCCTTTCTTGCACGAAGACCCACGAGAGAGTCTCCGTGTACAACAACGAGAATTGAACAAGCAGAAGAAGATGATCGGCAGAGTGGAAAAGATCCGGTCCACCATGGAAGAGAAGAGCCAACGATGGGTGCGCTGGAAAGCGAGAATTATGAGAGGTTTAGAGCTCGAAGAACAGCGGTACAAGGAGGAGTACAAGCAGCTCGAAGACGAACTTCAGGCTGTAGAGACTGGCAAGGATGTACCCATGGACCTCGAGAATGTTGGCACGGATGGCCATGGTGGAGTGGAGGACGAGTTGACAGAGGTGAAGCACCAGGTTGGTCAGATGGCCGACTATATGCAGAGGATCGAGAAGAGGAATTTGGACTTGACCTTACAAGTCCAGGACTTGATCACTGCTGTCCGCGAGGCAAAGCAGTGCGATGTGCTGCAGACTTCGCCGCAGAAGCCGATTCGTGGTTCAGGCTTCACTCTCCCCATCGAGGTCTTGCCCTCTCGCCAAGGCGACAAGAGCCGCAGCTCGAGCAAGGAGCGTTCGCGGTCACCTTGCCGGGGGCACGAAGAGCCTGCATTGAAGTTGACCGATGTGGTCAAAGAAGCTGGCTTGGAGCATCTTCTTGCTGGGATGTCGCCAGAGCATCACGATCACTTGATGGCCATCATCACTTCGGAACCTGCAAATTTTCAGAATCCCAAGCAGGTCCAAGAGCTGATCCATACTATGATGACTCAGCAGCTTGCCGAACAGACAGCGGTAATGGATGCTGGCCTCGAGGATCAGATCAAGACTGGACGACGGGATGTTCTGAAACCTTTTGGGCTCCCCAGGGAACGCTCGGCCAAGCGACCTGGGATGCCACTTTCAGAGCGGACAGCCAATGTTGGGGACCACCGGAGGGTCTCCTCTCGGAGTGCGGACTCGGTGAGTCACATGTCGTCCATGGAGTGAGCGATCTGCCTGGTGAATGCAGTGGCATGCCATTTGATGCATGGAACCTGCAAGCCAAGCGAAGCTGTAGTTTCTCTTCCCTTTTCTTTGGTCAGTGCGCTATTTTTCAAAGCAGCACGATCAGGCCTTTTTCCTTAGTGATGTTTAGGCCCGTTTTTGCGATGTGGATGAGAGAGGTTAGGAGTGAAGCTGGGGCTCCGCACTCTTGGGTTTTGAGTGCTCCGAGCTGCCTGTCGCCCGCTGCTAGTTTTCAGCTGCCAAATCATTTTGAGAAGACAGTTGTCACCTCTAGTGGTTGGAATGGTCGAGATGAGATTGATGCCGAAGAGAGCTGTACTGAACACGATTTCCACCGATGTGGCCTACCAGAGCCTGCGGATGGATGCACATGTCTTGCCTTGGAAGCGCTTGTAGCGTTTTTGAGACCCTTTTCCGAGCATGCCAATTGTGTTTTGTTTGCTTTCTGTGCACAAGCATTTATTTGTATTTGGGTCATCTTATTGGTTTGTGCTGCACGTTTCTCTCGAGCCTATCACTTTGAGAGCAAGAATGGACTTTTCAGCCGATGGAGTGCCCGATGCCTGAATCCCATTCCACTGGCTAGGGACTCTGTGACTGCGGCCCTGCTGCATTTTGTCAGCCTCACTTTCGCATGTTTGCCCCTTGAGTATGTTAGCGAAGAGTTGGCTGATCCGAGTTTTGGACTGCAAGCCTTACAAGGATTGTGCAAGATTCATTTGGCCTGCATTTGCTACTTTGGCTTCCTGTTTTTGCTTAGGTTCAGGATTGGTTTCGTAGGCAAGCTAAGGCGGGTGACGCCTTGTGGAAGGAGGCCCCGAAGTTCCAAGACGAAGAAACGTGGTAAGTTTCGGCTGATTGCTCTCATTCTCCTTTGCAATCTTGTATGTGCAGAGGGTATTCATGTCCTCGAGAATTGTGGACATTCTCCTGGTCAACATGATCTTCCCTTTTCCTCGAGGCCTTGTGGGGAAAGTGAAGCTGCTGGTGGCTATGATTGTCACGAAGAAGGCCTTCATGCTTGGAGGGATTTCCCTCCCAAGCATGTGCTCCGCTTCGGTGTCGAGCAAATTGGTTGCTGCCTGGCAGTGATCGCAGTTTTGTGCCAGTTTTGGGGTTTGAATACCACATTTCACGCCCACCGATTTTGGTTGATGCCATGTATGGGGATGAAGCTCAGCTGATGCAGGCTGGGCCGCCGTTTGTTGATGCGATAACTCAGCATATCTTTCGGGTCACTGGCAGGAGAAGTGGTGTCCGTGTTTATGTCTGGTTCCATCCATCTCATTCGCTTGGGGTGTTTGTGCAATGGTGTCGGATTTTGGAGTACGATGCACCGGTTCCGGCCGGACCGCTAGTCAGGGGTATTTGGGCTGATCAACTTGGGCGAGACACCGGATTCCTTTACCCCGTGCGCCCGCCTCCCTTAGAAGATGGTGGCCCTGCTTCGCATGTGCTCGTTTCTTGCCTTGAGGGTGACACCATCATGCCAGCACTGGTTGAGATCTCGACAACTGACCAAAGTTTTAGGGGTAGCTTCTTCTTCGTTGTGCGGCGGTTTCTGACTGGGAGTGAGATTTTCGATCAGGTCATTCCCCAGGTTGAATGCATTTGGCTCCATGAGTGCTCCATTTTGATGGGAGCGCCAGGACAAGTTCGCATTTTTCATTGGGATGACCTTGTGCCGCTGTATGAAGGGGCTTTCCTGCGTATTCGCTACATCTGGAGGCCGCAGGAACAGGGAGAGTCCTCTACGTGCGATGAGGGCTCCTCTTCGGATGACTCTGACTCTGATTCCACATCTCTGTCAGGTCCACCCAGCGGCAATGAGACCTTACCTGCCAATAGGCCTGATGCTGCTTCGGGCGAGGAGCGCCTAACGAGAGGGTCTGGTGGCTCACACCCTCTGGCCCTCGACCTGCAAGCGGCTCTGCCTTTGGACCTTACTGATGATGACAAGACTTCGCTGATGCACATGCCTCTGCGTCGATTTGTCTATGACCGGCCGCTGCATGGTGCGGTTGATATTCCCCAACAAGTCTTGCAAGACAGCCTCCTCCAGTACTTGCAAGCTGAGGCCCATTTGCGACCCACTGACCCCATGATGACAATGGTTTGGATCTTGGTCAATGAGGACCCTGTGAATTTGCCCATCACCATGTTCCGAGCTCATGACAGGAGAATGCTGACCACGCAGGTGAGTGAAGCATGGCGAGGGCACAATGGTTACGAGGTGGCCAGTGCCTTCCTATGTTCGCCCCAGCCGCCTCGCTTTCACATGCGCGAGGTACCAGGTCGATCCCTCCTTGTTACTCCGAAACTTGAATTACACCCGCACTGGGCGGCTTGGCTCATGGATGTTTATCTTGTTTCGGATTCGGACAAGGTTTTCAAAGAAAGAGTGGCCATCTGGACCATGCAGCTGACTGTTGGTGATCTCGCGCAACGTTTAGGCTATGATGCCAAGGGTGCTCGTGCCATTCGTCTGGACTTTCCGGGAGTGACATTGACGGAGACCGAGGAGATCTGTTTTCCACCGGGTACCTTTTTTCGCATGCTGCTGAGGTCGGCAAGTTCATGTAGAATTGGCCCAGGTGTTGATATGCCGGATGAAGCTTCGCTCTTCCAAGTTAGGCATCGTGGTGGTTCAGTGAGGCCAGTACTGCGCCTTTTCGCTAACACTGTTGTCTCCAGCCAGGTGCTTCTTCGACAAGAAGTTGTACAGCTTCGGACAGCAAGAGGACCCTGGCCTGTGATATGGATACATCTGGATGGGCAGAATGAGCCATGTGAATGCAGACTCTCCTTTGCCCGTACCTATGAGTTGGCTACCTTGGTGCGAGCAGTTCGATGGGCATTGCGATCCTTTGTTGGGCTTCATGTCCGACTTTACCTGGGCTATGTCGATCCTCAGCCTCTACCTTCACAGAGTCTGCGGGACGATGTGGTGCATCTTATTGCTAGCAAGCATCGACCGCGTTCTGTGATGCCGATTGTGTTGCATGTATGGCAATATCATGAGCATGTGTTGCGGACTCAATGGATTGTGACAGCACTGCCGCAGCTGGCCACTTGGGCCCACAGTGTACTTGCGATACAACGGTGGACTGTTTGTCACCTCTCTGGTGTGAGATGTACTTTCTTCCTTGAAGGAGTGCATGAGCTTGGCCCTGTGCCTCTCCGAGTTCATCCATGGCAGCGCATTGATGGTGAGTTTTCACTTTCGCCTTCCACTGAATGTGCTCCTGCTGAGACACTGACTATGTCATCACCAGACTTCTCAACCCCGGCTGTTTGGGAGGATAACACTGCAACCTCCGATGGAGAGACAGGTTTGACTCCTGGGCATGAGCATTATGATGACCTTTCCTTTATGCAGAGGACAGTGTCTATGAAGCTCACTGATTCTTTTGCACGGGCTGCTGAACGACAGGGACCATTTTTGAACTATCTTTGGTTGACCCGGAGAGAGTTGACTGATGCCTGGTTGGATGCCGGCAGGGACATCGGATATGACTTCTTCCGTGTTCCTGAGCAAGGAGTCTGGGAAAAACAAGTGCTTGGCTGGCGATTCTTGGCCTATGAGCAGAGATTTGGGGAGAGCTTTACGATACAACTCTACCGCCATGGGCTTTGGGCAGCCCAATTGATCTCGCCCTTCGAGGATGATGGTATTCTTCGGATCTGTTTTTTGACAGTTTTTCCGATGCCACAGATGCTTGACCTTGGAGGTGGGCCACGGAGCCAGTCAGACTCAGTTGTACTTGCTCTGGTAGAGGAAGTCTTTGCCTCAGATTACCTGCCTCTGGTGGTCCAGCACTTTTTCGACGGGGAACGAACAATTGTTGCTGTGCAGTGTGATCCGGGGTGTACTCCCAATTTTTTGTGTCACATCCTCGGGTTTTCTCTGCAGTGTGATCCGCCCTTTGAAGCACATGTTTACTTTCGTTTTGATGATTTGGAGAGGACTTTTGTCGGTCACCAGCGGCTTGGTTTGCCCAAAGGTGCCTTCGTGCAGCTTTTTAGCAAGCATATGAGGCCGGGAGAAGATTGTGATCTGTGGGGCCCCCCTTTTCGAGAACATGAGGTGCTCCAGATTTCGTCAAATTTACCTGCCTCGGACCCTCTCCCAGATCTTGGAGACGAGGCCTCTCTGGTCCAGACCCCTTGGATTGCTGACATGAACTACGATGAGAGTGACTTCCTGGAGGCAGCTGAGAGGCTTGTTCGTGATGGAAGAGCAGGTGATGGAGCATACCCTGCTATGCTGCTTGTGCGAGCCGGGGATGTCTTCTCCTTTGATGTTTTGCGTCACTACCTTGGAGAGCGTTTTCCTATCGCTGACAAACCTGTCTTCACCATTCATGTTTGGGCGGTTGCCCATCAAATTGTGACCTTTGCCAGAGTGACTGCCCTCCAGCAGCGGCGCTCCTTTACTAGGTCTTTGGTTGAAGACTGGGCCGATTGGGAAGAGCGGTTGCCGTGGTGGCTACACATTGTCGAACCACAGCCAGTTTCTATTTCTCTCCGGCTAATGCCTATAGATCTTGTGATGCTGAGCCAAGCGCAGAAAGAGGCTGGGTGCAAGGTTTTCATTATCGACATCTTGTATGTTGGAATGCCGAAGAGAGTTGCTTTCCTCTATCAGGCAGATGAAACAGTTGCTCATGTCCTCCAGAAGCTAGAGCTCTATGAAATATGTACACGAGGTCGGCATTCATGTATCTTCAGTGATCGAGCGCCTGAAGCGCGAAGATGGATGTTCTCTGAGCGGTTGAGAGTGCCGCATGGTACATGTTTTGTCCTGGAGTTCATGACGGTTTGTGAGGCCACTGGCAATGATCTGGGGTTTGGATCTTCACAAGGCTCTCCGGGGTCCCATTTGGCCCCCCCCTCTGGCACTGATCACTTACCCTCGCTTCCTGAGAGCAGTGGCATGGTGCGGGGATTTGGTTCTGCTTCTTTCCCTGATCAGAGCGATGCTGAGGGCCATCAAGCTTCCGCAGATGACACTTTTGCGATGATGCAGCTTGGGCGGCGCGTTGTTCCCCCTCCTCCTGAGCCACATTCCGGATGGATCTGCTCTACAGGCATGTCTGGTGATTGTGTCAAAGAGGCTTTCTTGAGCTATTTTTGTCGACCACTCTCGACGAGCCTTCAGATACGAACTTACATCCATGTCCTACATGGTACACCAGTTCGCAATGCCATTACCTTGCGTTTTCGGCCTTCTGAGCAGTTCACGCATCGGATTCTGGAGGCCTGGAGGATTCCAAGCGACCGTGATCTATATGCAGTCTTTGTGTATCCTACCCCGCATGGGGGTATACGGGGTTCTGCTATCCCTATCCTTCTGGCTCAGCTTGAAGATGTTCGGGACTTTTTCCCCATTTATGTCGAACTCCATTTGCCTCCTTATCAAAGAGGTAGTGTGCAGGTCACGCCCTGGACCACTGTCGGTGAGATGCTTATCTTTTTCTTGCAAGGATCTGGTGTCACGGACCTTGATGTGAGAGCAAGGAATATGGACAAGCCACAACTCTTGTTGGATAGGGGCGATCCATTGCATGCGAAGCCAGGAGATTACGTCGTTTTACTGCCTCATCGGCCCCGACCCCAATGTATCATGGAGGTTGCTTCACCTTCCTCTCCTTTGGCCAGCTCCGCAGCTACAGGACCGGTTAGCTTCCTCCAGCTTTCCTTTCATTTTCAGCCTTGTGTCACAGAGGAGCTGGCCAGATCACTTTGGGCACGAGATGTTATGGAAGGGTTGCGGCCCCCTGGCAATGTAGTTGAATGGAAGGCCCGAGATCTCCAGACAATGGATGATCTCGCCTTTGTTGATGGCAAGGAGGTGGTAGTCGATTATGATATGGTTCCACAGGCCGATGAGCCGCGAAAGATTCACCTTTCTGACTACCTTGATTTCCCACAGGATCTTCCTGACAGCGGTTTGGCTTTGGACCACACTTCGGGTTTAGTGGTTGACTTGCCTGATCTTCGAGGTTTTGCCGATTCGTTGTTCATTGATCTGCCATCCCAGCACATGCCATGGAATGATTTGCGACAGCACTTGCCAGAAGAGTGCCAAGGGGATTTTGACTGTCTGCTCATGGAATGTGGCAAGCAATATGACAAGCTGGAGTTGTATTGCGATGGATCCTACATGCCGCAGAAGTCATCGAAAGCTGCTTGGGCTTTTGTTGTCCTTGGGAGCTGTCAAGGAAAGCGCTATTTGGTAGATGGTCGACATGGACAAGTTGAATGTGATCCGATGGGCACTGGCTGGATTGCCTGTGATGATCATTCTGCTAAGGCCGGTGAAGTCACTGCTCTTGTCCGGGCTATCGAATGGTGTTTTCGACGTTCGAGCACTGCCCCACATTCGTTCCTGTATGATGCACAAATTGTGGGTGGTGCTGCATCAGGGCAGTACAGTTTTGATCCGATGGACACTGCAATGGTTGTGCTTCGAAGCATGTCCTTGGCCTTGCAGACTTATTTGCCTGGACAGGTTGATTGGACACACGTTAAAGCCCACGCTGGGTGTCTTGGGAACGAAATTGCTGATGTGTGTGCCAAGCAAGCTATCTGGCAAGATGTCCTTGACGATACCCCGATTGATTATACCTCCATTGTGGTTGGCCCACGAAAGGCGGTTGAATTGCTGTGGTGGTTCTTCTCTGGATTTGGGCCACCTGGGGTCCTGCCCGAGTGCCGTGATGGAAAATTATTGGTACCGCCCATGAAGATCTCTGGCCCCCAGCTTCCGAAGAAGTTCCTGAAGACACAGAAGGCTGTCCCACAGAGGACTAAGAAGATTCGGCTTGCTGCTGTCACTTACAATGTGTCCAGTTTGCAGCAGCGCAAAGGCTCCTTCTTCGTCTCCTACCTACGCGCACAGGCTGATGCATGCGAGTATGATGTGGTTTTTCTTCAAGAGACGCGGACAAAAGAGAGCCAGCTTGTCCAATCACAGACACATTACCGACTGACCTCAGCTGCTGCTGAGGGGAGAGGGGGTGTTGAGCTTTGGCTTCTCCGGACGCGAGCTTCTGATGGAAAAGCTGTATTTGCTAAACAGGACATTCGAGTCATTTATGCAACTGCAGAGATTATGGTGGTGAAAGCTAAATATCGTGGCCTTCCGATTGTTCTCTTCACAGCCCATGCGCCGCACAGTGGCTCCTCCCATGGAGCTATTGATGCCTTCTGGAAGGAGCTGACTTGTGCCTTGCATCCGGTTTTGTCGAACTGCAGACACTTTCTTGGGGGCATCGATGCCAATGCCCATTTTGGGGCAGATTCTCTGCCTCATGTGGGTCCTCATGGCTTGGAAGGTAAGACCAATCTGGGTGGAGATCTGTTCAAGACCTTCTTACAACACTTTGCAGCGATGCTGCCCACCACCTTCGAAGGCATCCATTCAGGGGAGACTGCGACTTGGGTGAGTAATGTCAGCGGTGCAAAGGCACGTTGCGATTATTTTGTGACTCCTTGTGAATGGTCTGATGCTCTTCTTGAGACGGCACCCCATCCGGGCTTTGATGCTGGCACAGCTGGATTTGACCACACGCCTTTGTCCATAGGGGTAGTGTTTCTTGCTCAGGTTGCATCAAACTTTCACAAGCTCACGTCCTTTGATCGACAGCAGTTGAGCAAGACAGCCCCTGGACACCTGCAGGAGATCTTTGCTCGTCCGCCTGTCATTTCGTGGGATACACATGTTGACGAGCATGCTGTGCAGCTGGCAGATTGGGTTGAGCAGACTCTGCATCAGAATTTTCCATTGCAGGGATGCCGCCCACGTAAGTCCTATATTACAGATGAGACATGGGAGATCCGAAATCAACGGATGGAGTGTCGGCGTGAGAACCAGGCGCAGCGACAGCATGGCATGAAACTGACTATGCTTGCTGCATATGGTGCTTGGAAGTGGGGGGTCGTTCTCCCCACTCAGCAACTCTTTCTGTCGGTCATCTCTGCTGTCAAGCTGCTCCGGCAGCTCCAGAAACGCACTTTGGGCTTGACAAGGCGGTTGGCCAAAGCCTTAAGGGCGGATCGCACCATGACTTGCCATCACTTAGTGGTATTCTAGTATTTTTTCATTTTTTGGCCATCACACGAGAATTCCTTTCTTAGAGAAAGTATGAAAACGAGAAAATACAATAACATAAACATATAAAGAAGGCATCATGTTTAGCTGAACTGCATGCCTCCTCAAACAGTCCACAGAACCAGGCACGCATATGAGTGTAGACATTAATAGGGTAAAAAAGTTCTTTTTCACTTTTGATGATATTTCTTTCAAAGAGATAAAGTGAGGCCCACGGCCACAACGTCTTGAATCCAGAAAATAGCATCAATCCTTGAAGGTCGCATTTCCCTTTTTTGAGACACGAGATTTTAAAATATTTTCTGCTTCCATACAAAACCACAATGAATGAAATCAAGGCAGGCGTGGCTCAGCCAAGAAAGGCAAGTTTCATTGACTTCAATTTAAAGTTTACAGCAATAAGATTGTGCCTTTGCCACATTAAATGCCCTGCGCTGCTTTGAATATTAGTTTGCAAGAGCCACTACAGAGTACAGCATGTCCAAGAGCAATCCTTCAAAACAATTTGTGTTTAGCAGGCTTCAGTGCAAAAAGCACGATTGAGATGGAATAGATTTGGGGTTGTCAAACGACCAAAAGCAGGGTCAGCAACCCATCTTCGCATTCTTTTTGTGCAACGCAAGATTTGGCAAGGCGCAGTCAAAATTGCTTTGTCCCAAACCTAAGCTGACAAAACTGAGGCATTGGGGCCGAAGCAGCCCTGCATGGCCGATGCAGCCATCACTCGTCGTCGGCCAAGGGATCCCACACCTCTTCCTCGTCCTCATTCTCCACATTCTCAGCGTTTTCCTCTTCCTCCTCCTCCTCTTGCTCCTCCTCCTTGGCTTGCTGGGCTTTGGCTTTCGGCTTCTTTTTGTCTTTGGCTTTAGGCTTCGGCTTTGCTTTAGGTTTCCCCTTAGGCTTCGGCTTTGCTTTCGGATCTACATCCCTTTGTGGCTTTTGGTCATCACCTTGGCCGGTGGGATTGGAAACACTTCCAACCGCTTCAGCGTAAGCTGCAGAAAACAAAGGTGACTCAGGGTCTTTCATGTCCTTTTCCAGCAACGTGAGCAAACGTTCTTCGAGAAGGCGCTGGTGTTCAGGGTTGAAAGCTATGCCTACGTACCCCACACGGTTGCGCAAAGCTGCCCAAGCCACTCGTGCATCCAGCGGTGTCAGATCAATGATCATTTTCACAAAAAAGTCATGAATCAGCTCTTCACAGAGCTCATACGGAGGACTGTGGTAGCACACCGGCTCTGAACCATTGCGGGGTCTGCTGTTCTGCTTGTCTCCATCGTCCTTGTCGTGCGTTTTCCCACCCACCAGGATCTGGTGTTTTTTCCCCAGAAGTTCTTTTTTCTCTTTCCAAGGCAAGTGCCACTCAGAAGACCAAGGGGGCATGTGCACATTGGCAATCAAGTCGCCTGTGGTAGAACCTGCGAAGTGCTTTCTGTCACGGCTGGGAAGGGACAGTTTTTTGGATGTGAAGATGTGACATCCCTCCATTTGCTTCAAGGTGCAGGTTCCACGGACTCGCTTCTTTCTGGCTGCTAGAGAGGATTCTGAGTATCCAATCATCAGTGTGTCTGCGCAGAAGGTTGGCTTGTCCTCATCTTCCTGGTCTTCTTCTGCATCTTCTTCATCTTCTTCGTTGTTTTCTTTGCTTTTGGCCGTTCCTTCTTTCCAGGGCGACATCAATTTGTTTCGAAGACCTTTTTTGCCGGCGTCAAAGACCACAGCCACGTCCCCTGCCATCAGGTTTGGGTGGCTGTGGCCTATTACCTCTTGCCGCGCTGTAAGAACACTTTTGACGAGCTTGGTGTACAAGGGCTCCCGGAATGTTGCCGTTCTCAAGTCTGGCCGCGTGGTGGGTTCGCCATATTTTTTCAGATCAAACAAAAACATGGCCAGGCCAGTTGGATCCCCGCGTAGCGACATGAAAGGAGTTTCTTTCAAGGCTTTTTCCAGGTCCACATTTGTGCGATGATCGCTTACAAAGCGGACATGCTGGGCAAGGACCTTGCGCATGTGTTGAAGCCACAAAGCTTTATCTGCCTCAGAAAGTGCAGTGGATGACGGGGCCGTTGATTCAGAGGCCGCAGCAGCCTCAGAGGCCGAAGCAGCCTCAGTTTCCTGAGGCTGTGGTTCTGTTTCAGCAGCAACTATTTCTGCTGGCCGTTCTTGCGTCGCTTCAGGCGTCGTCTCTTGGCGAACTTTTTGTTCGATTTTCTCCATTGTGGACTTCAGCGACGGGTAATTCAAAAAATCTTGGACTTCGTGTTTGCTTTTTATTGCGTCCTTGTATCTCAGGTCATACTGACTTCCATACACCAAGGCGTCCAGGAAATCGCAAATTTCAGTGACGCTTGGCGGGCAGCCCAGTAACCAGGCCGTATCAGCCTGTGTGTCAGGGTATGGCGACAAGTGTTTTCGCACATTATCGAAGGAACCACAAAAGTTGCGGATCTTTTCTTTCCATTCCTTGCTGAGGTCCAAAGTATTCAACCACTGGTTCAGGCAATGATTCAAAGTCTTGCGCTTCATCTTGAGGACCTCGATGTAACTTTGCCTTGAGTCTTTCAGCTTGCTGATTACAAAAAAACCCGCGTCAATGAACGACATGCGGACACCGTCCACCATTCCTTCCAGGGACCAGGCAATCAACTCAGGCGTCCCTGCTCTGTCAATCAAAGCCTGCAAGGCGTAGACTGACTTCCATGCATTGGAGGACAACCAGTTTTGGTCGCACCACTCCAGCACTTCTTGACATTTGGGGAGGCTGAGAAGTCGTCGATGGATGGTCAAAGCCGAATCGATGAAACTCTCTGAGATTTTTTCTTGGTTCGAGGCTAATTTGAGATGCTGGGTGTAAAGACCAGCCAGTTTTTCGAACCCAAGTTGGCCTCAGTTTTTTTCTTCTGCTCATGAAAGCCTGCGATCTCATATATGCGTTGCCTCAAGCTCATCTGAACGGACAGCCCCTTCTCCACCATCTCCTCACGAATATTGGCCGCGCGCCAATACCGTTGTTCACCAATGGGACAGATTTCAAAAACAAAGGTGGCCGTGAGAATGCAATTCTTCAAGGCGCGCAAGACTCCAACCTTGGCTTTGGTTTCAATGGCTTCGGCGAGGGCGAACAGCAGGGCATGCACCGGCTCTGGAGGACTGAGGCGCTGAAATCCATTGTCCGGACGCTTGCCGATGCAAGCAGGTGTTTCCAGAGCAACAGTGATGGTAAAGGGGCACAACGACGGTGGCTCGTTCGAAGGAAACCAGTGCTGCTTGATTTGTTGCACCTGTGCACTGTTGATGGGAAACTTGTGGGTGGCCAAAAACAAGTCTTGGTGGAAAAAATTTGCCGCGCACTTGTAGACGCCCACGTTTTTCAAGGCCGAAGCAGCCTGAGGCAGATCCAGTGATGCTTCTCTGCCGCCATCTTTGACGGACAAAGGCTCCGCTGTGAGGATGTCCTTGAACATATCATGTGAGTAAATGACGGCTAAAGCATCATGCACCTTCATCAGGTGTTCCTTCGAAGGTCCAGGATCCATGTCCACGTCTGCGTCATCTGCCGCCGGAAGGGCAAGGTGCTCTTTTTTTTGCTTCTTTTTGGGCGGCATGGGCAAAAAGTTGATTTGAGTTGACTTGAGCCGCTCAAATCTCACAGGTCACAAACATTTAGGAAAAAGAGGGGGACAGGGGCATGTCACGTTGCGATATCATCTTTAAATCTTCCGTAATTATCTATAGAAGTATGGATGTCAACATTCACTTCAAATGCAATTCCTCGAAAAAAAACTTGCGCAGACTTTCTTTTTAAGTCTTCTGAACGACATCCTGCGGGGCCGCTCACAGCCATCCACGCGTGGTTGTGTGCAGCCACAGCAGAAACAAAAACAGCCCTCTCACATGGCCGAAGCAGCCATCTTAGCCACCATGCTGCGGACATGCCGGGTCCGTGCAACACTGGCGGCACATGTGGCTAGTGCATCCACATCCAGGTTGGTTGCGTTGGCAATGGGCAAGTCGATCACCTTGGGAGGGCGATTGCCAGCGGCCGCCCTGTGCTGCATGGCTCTCTGAGCTTTCTTTTGGGCCCATCCAGAGTGCGTGCTGCGATTGCTGCCCCATGGGTGTTGCGTGGGCGTTGACGACGCAGACCAGACGGCTTGCCTCACAACTGTTTGCATGTCACTCCTGAGTTGGTGGACCGCGGAGACGACGTCGGCATGACTTGCAGGACGCTCCCTCAAAGAAACGCCCAGCTTTCTGGTTGGACGCGGGCTGCCCACAGATGGGCTTGGCTCCCGTGAGCTTTTCGTCTCTCTTTTTTTCTTGTCTGCGCTTTGGGGATACCCAGTGGTTGCTTGCCTTTTTTTAATGTCTTTGGCACTGCCCGCATGGGGTGCATCATCATCGGAGGAATATATGCACTCAGAGTAGTACTCGTAGTCATCATCTTTTGCAGCAATGAAGACCCTCCTTTGCTTCATTTTCTCTGCTGCACGGTCCTCCTCGTCATTGTCATCCAGCGGTTTCTCAATGTGATCAGGTCTTTCTGTCAAGATCAAGCCGGACGATGGTGGATTGGAGGAACCTGCCGCAGCCGCAGCAGCTGCAGTCTCAGCCACGGCACCCTGAGGCTGGTCAGGCACCGCCTCTTTTTCTGTGGCCGAAGCAGCCACAAACTCAGTGGCCGAAGCAGCCACAGACTCAGTGGCCGAAGCAGCCACAAAAGCCTCAGTGGCCGCAGCTGCTGGAAGAGCTGCCATGTCGTCATCAAAATCAACATCGTGGACAGATTCGTCCTGGGCAGCAGCCACGGTCACTTCGTCGTCGTCCTTGCCGCCTGCTTGGACGACTGTGGTCCCGACCTCTTTTGGCTCCAAAAGCGCCAAAGCCCGTTGCACCAACTCTGGCTTGTGCGGACCATTGGGAGGCCCTTCGGCAAAAATTTGTTGGACTTGGGGCGGGCACTGCAGCCGCAGATGTTGGACCAACTCCTCAAAAGTGCCAAGGATGGTCATCTTTCCGCCCACCCATGAATCCAAAGAGCTCTGACCTGGTGGCAGTTTCTTTTTGTCTGCATGAAACCAAATAGCATCAATCAACGTGTCCTGGCCTCCACAGGCCATCATTTTTAACGCCAGCCATTGGTCGTCGATGACGCAAGTCATTCCTTCAGTGAAATACTTCTTGTCGTCCATGTGCTTGACCAAATTCACTTGGCCTTGTGGCATTCCCAGGGACACGCAAAAACGGTGCACCCAGTGGGGGCACTTGTCTGGCTGGTTTACGACACCACCTTCGGCCACCTGCCTGTGCGGTGCTTCAACATGTGGATGAACATGTATGCACCAGGCATGGCTGCCCGGTAGATAGTCTGTCCGTCCTGGTACTCCACCTGTTTGTCGCTCAGCACCCCACCAACGTCGATCGCAACCTGCTCTGCTGCCCGAGCTGGATACTTCTTGACGTAACGTCGCATTTCCAGCGCCATGTGGCCGAAGCAGCCACTGGCCGAAGCAGCCAGAGGTGGTGGCGAAGTCTTGGGCCGCCGAATGGCTACGGCGACAAATGACGACGACGACGACGACCACGACGACGACGACGCTTGACAAATCTGGTTTGGAAGGAGATGTCAAATCGCCATCCCCTTCCGAGGTTCAAGGACGACCCCGAGCTTCCTAAGGAGATGACAATGACATGACAACTGCTTCTAGAATAGAAGCGCTTAGTGGTATTCCCGTTTCGCCCCCTTGTCGTCATCTCCTTACAAGGTTCAAGGACGACCCCGAGCTTTGGAAGGAGATGACAATTCGCCCTTACCTTACAATGGTTTGACTATAATTTATAAATCTTAGGAAGTTCAAGGACGTCCCCGAGATAGTGGGCAGAAACTAGGTTTAAAAGCGGCATTGCACTCCTGCGCCCTTTTTTTCCCTTTCAATCATTCATAAGTCGGTCGTCGTGGCCGAAGCAGCCACTTTCCTCCATGGCCGAAACAGCCAATTCCTCCATGGCCGAAGCAGCCAAACTTCACTCAACATTTCCTTCTTTCAATTCGAATTCCCACCAGGATCCACCAAAGTTTCCGATCCGCAAGTCATCATCCAGCTCCGAGTGCTGCACGGCCTTATTGAATGCTTCCCAGAGGTTCTCCCGAAACGTCGACCACCTGAAGTTCTTGTAATCCAGCGTCATAGCATCCAGATAGCTGATGAAAAGGGTGGCCATATAAAAGTCCCACTTCGTGAAACGAGTCAATGGTACTTTGATCCCCTCAGTCGTATCTGGCAGCCCTCCGACAATCCTGCATTCAGGATAAGTACTGGGGTCTCCATAGCGCAAGGTGGTCATGACATCGATCGCAATCTCGATTTGCCACCCAAAATCTGCTCTGAAAGGTCCCAGATGGCAATAGCACCAGAACAGAGCATTGCGAGTGCATTCAAAAACATCTTCCATCTTTTGCAGCCCAAAGACATTGACCGGTCGCTCTTTGAGAAAGAGCTGTATCACACATACAAAATGACAAAAGTTGGCCTCGTCAGCGCCTGCTTCCGAACGCAGCGGCATGAGCACCAATGGACCAGAAGAGCGCGACCAAGCACGAAGCACGGGGCCAAGAAAACTTGAACCAAAAAAACGAGCCTTTTTCTTGCACACGCAAGTCATGCGGTTACAAATTGAACATCCTGGCATTGCTGTGGTTGCAGTCAAAAACATAAAACAGCTTTTGCAGCCCATGGCGGTTATTTTTCATCCCAAGCGCGGAATCTGAACTTGACCACCCCCAGCCAAGTCGTCCGTGTCAAGCATGCGACCAACCCTTCACAGTGGCCGAAAAAGGCAAATACTTGGCCGAAGCAGCCAGACAGTCAGATTGGGAACTCCGCCGCCCTTGAAATCAAACCAGCTGCATACAATGCGCCCTGAAGCACGCAGCCAACCAAAGGAACCGGCACACAGTTGCCCAGCATTCCTTGCAACTGGGCCTTGCTGACATGCTCTTGCCAACCTTGCAACTCGTCAGATTTGAACCCAGAGACCTTGAGGATCTCATTTGTCGACATTTTTCTACCACGAGTACTGATCCAGAAGCCACCAGTCTTAGCTCGAGATTGGCACAATGTGCGGCTGACATCCACCCCAAATGTGGAGTATGCCTTGGTGCAGCCGATGTCAATAGCTACAGGAACCCGGCGTGGGTCTATGCCTCGCTTATGCACCTTTTTGAACGCATCCACAGTCAAAGCCTTAGCTCTTGCATTTTTTGGCAGGCGACCAGCCATATCAGTAGGTCCGGGTGCGTCCAAAACATCTGACAAAGAGCGTTTTCCTTTTTTCTTTGGCCACTTGAAAGGTCTTCTATATGAATCCTTCCTGATTGCCACAACAAACAGTCGTGCTCTCTGCTGAGGCACTTGATAATCAGCAGCGTTCAAAACTCCGACAAACACCTTGTAGTCCAGTTTCTCCAACGCAGCTTTGATGCCCCGAAGAACTGGGCGGTTTGTCTTGGAGCATAGGCCCTTGACATTTTCCAGAACAAATAGACGTGGTCTTTGTCTTTTAGCATACTGCACAGGAACTTTCAAAAGTTGACCTCTAGGGTCTCGCAGTCCCAGCCGCTTGCCCTGCGACGACCAAGGTTGGCAGGGGGGTGTAGCCACGTAACAGTCCACGGCTACCTCTTCTTCTGGTGACCGTGTGGCAGCGTCATTGAACAAAAATTGTGGGGAATGAAAATGGCGCAGCATCTTTTTGCACCCAGCGTCGCAGTCGCTGCTAAAGGCATGTTGCAAAGGCAATCCCAGCCTCTTGAGCGCTATAATGGCAGTATCCAACCCGCTGAAGTCAGTCCCCACCCGAATAACACGAGGAGTGCGAAGTAGCAGCGCCATTGTTCACTCACAGCCGAACCAGCCGCAAGTTTGAAGGCCGAAGCAGCCTCAGGAAACGTGTGAGTCAATGAATGCTGGCCGAGCCGAAATCTTACACAAATTATAGAATGAACAGACCTAGATATACTCCAACATGCAAATACCAGAAACCGGCTCAGCTGCGCATTTTTTCCACTTCCGAGACCGCCCATGTCCCCTTAAGAGCAGTCATTTGAAAAGCCCTGAACAAGACGCCAGCGCGTCAGCGCGCCGAATGCGATGCAAAAAGCTCTCAGTTGTGTGCATGTTATTGTCGCCCTCGCTCACAGCATTCCTCTCATCCTCGTGAATCACTGCGAACGCTTTGTATTTAGGATATGATCTCTGCTTGGTTTGCAACTGCTGGACTGTGCAAGCTTGCATCTTGTGAATCTTCCAGCCATGTCCCGGAGGAAGCGCTTTTCGAAAGTCAGTCCAAAATGTGTTGTTTTTTCTGCGCAAATTCGACTGACCAGGATAACTTTTCGCACCTTTGCAGTGCGATGGAATTTCAAAGCACAACCGGTTCTGGACGTGAAGAAGACCGGAGAAGCCTCCACCAGCCCTCGCAAGCCGGCCATCATTTGTAACAAGCATGGCAGGCCTTCACCTGGTTTGTCGCAAACAAATACATGCGCTTCAGACGCTTGCGTTGTCACCTGAAGCCCGTGGTTGGCTAGACCTGCGGTCAAGTCCATTGTGGCCGAAACAGCCAAAAAAGCTTTGCGGCCCGACAAGTCAGCGAGCAAGGCATCCCTTGGATTGTGAGTTGCAAGCTTTTGAACTCTGCTTGCTTGGGCCCGTCTTTTTAACTGATTGTTTACAAATTTGGCCTCCGCATCCTTGGCATTCTGTTGATCTTCGACACTAGCCTCTGGCAAAGATTTCTCGAACGTTGCTTGAATTCGTTTGCTCTGCTGCTTTTTCACTTGAAAAGCCATCTCCTTCTCATGGCCATCGGTGAAGAATTCAGAGTCAACTTGCTCCACGGTGCCTGAGTAACTGGCCGCGGCCGCAGCAGCCGCAGACCGACGTCGAGTCAGAAACTGCCGCTCACTCAAACCGGCTTGCGACGCAATTCTTTTGATCCCCTTGTCCCTTCGAGGTTTGGAATGTTCGCGCGGGAAGCCATACTGGGAGGCCCACGCAACCCTGGCAAGTTTGCAAATTTCAACTTTGTCGGCTTTGCTTTGCGTTGGCAGACCAAATATGAGTCTGAGAACCAATTCTTCGTTTCCAGGCAAAGAAGATCTTCGTTGCATGGTGTAACGGTTTTGCCCCAAACTAAAACTCTGTTCAATTCCCGAGGTGCTTGGTGTGCAGCAAAAATAGTTCTGCAACGCCACCATCAAAACGTCGCATGGGTGGCTTCTGCATGTCCCATATCTCTGCATCGCTGTCCTCCAAGCGTCTTTGTTTGCGTCCCGAACCATGTCATTGGCATTGTTCAATGACCCAACCTGCTCTTTGTATTCCATTTGTGCCCGGGGATACAGGTCTGCCCATTGCGACTGCAGCTGGAGCAAATCCAATTTGTATGTATGCGCTAAAACTTTCATGTGCGAATCGACTGCCGTGGGTCCTACCCCCTTCAGATTGAATATTTCAAATGCCTGGCAAATTTCAAAATTGGGGAACTCTGCTTGGATGGCCGCAGCAGCCAGCTTGACCCACGCTTGCATGCGCCCCATGCATCTGTCCAAAATGGTTCTGTCTACTCCACTACTGCCCAACGTTTTCAAGGTTTTTCCAACATGAAATAATATGGGAGACTTCAACTGGCTTAGTACCGTTGAGGTAAACCCAAATACAGTTGCGCAGCGACCTTCCACAAAGAGACTCCGAATCTCTTGCAAATACTGCTTCAATTCACCCGCCAGATTCGCTGGATCAACAAATTCCGTATCGAGAGATCGCGTCAAAGCCAGACTTGTGTCGGCCGCGTCAGCTAACATTGCTGCCTGCAAAAGATGTTCTTCCGAAACCCACAGCAACCACTGCTTGGCTTTTTTGGCTGAACTATCAGATCTGGCATTCATGACGTGGAGAGCCGTCTTGACAACCGCGTGGAAAAACAGGCAAGTGCGTCCAAGTGGTTTCGCGTGGGATTCAAATCTGTGGCCCGCAGCTCGAAAAGATGCTATGGCCGTCCGAAGGTGAGACTCACTGGTTTGACAGTGTTCCGCAAAAAGGCGTTTGAGTTCCATGGAGTCATTGATCAGTCGAGCCATTGACCCTGGTCCTCTACACATGTAATTCATCACTTCTTTCAACTTTTCATCTGCGTTCCAGGGCCGACTCGTCAACCTCCTGCTGGCGTGTGCCCGGTCTCTAAAGACATGCTGCAAATTTGGGAGCATAGGCTGGTTGTCTTCCGGAATCAAAGTCAATTGCGCAGACCGTAGAATCTCGCAGCTAGCCATTTCATCTGCTGCTGCATCAGCACAAATTGCCACTGTGTGTGAGCGCAGATGTTGAAAAAGCCGTGGCTTGAGATAGCCAGCTTGCCGGCCACCAGGCGCCGCAAGAAATCTGGAACAGGCGCGCTTCATCACTTCCCACGTGGCCAGGGACA